CCTTTTCTCCATGGTATTATAAAGTTCAAGATTTGTTTTTAAGAATTTGATGAAAGTTCTTCAGAGTGAAAGGTGGCAAAACAATGGCTCCTTCTGGATGCTTCAGACCTTGGATGTCCAGCTTGCAACACCTTGAAGAAAGCACCCGCTGATAATGAAGACCCTTTAACATGCATATAGATATGTCCCATAAGGCATCCTGAGTTTGTGGAAACACTTGGGCATCATACATTAACTGCTGCAATGATCTTGCACACTGCTGAAGTGTAGATGCTTTTGGGGTGCAATGCAATGGTTTCTGTTATAGTGCAGAGAAACTGTCATTATTATTTCTGACTTGCTAAAGCACGGTAGATGCTTTACACCACAGATAAACATTAGAATCCCAAAGACCTTTGCAGTCACTATATCTTGCAGAGCAACTTAAGACGGGAAGAGAAGAAAATGATTGCTTTACCCAACAAACAATTTGGAGAAAATGTATAAGAATCAATCTTCCAAAGTAGTTAGTTATTTTATCTCAACAGTAGGATTTAGGTTAGCATGGTGTTAACCACTTACGCACTGATCCAGCAAAGCATGTCTGTACATGTCTAAATTGAAGCCTGAAAATAAGCTGTTGCCTTCAAAGAATTTGAGTACTTAAATCAGTATTTATTACCTGAAGCTTCAAATGTAGTGTGTGGGCTCAAATGTGCCATTAATTAGCTGCCTTTGTTGAGAGACTCTTCAATTTAAATCTACCACCAAAGGGCTTTGCTAAAACCAGAGATCCATCTTGTTCTATGCATCCTAAGTGCCTATAGCATAGCACGCCATGCCTGCAAGCCAGTGGTCCCCATTTTTGAACAAGTGTATATTAACAAGAAGAATTATTTGCATTTTTCTATCAACTTTTTATGCTGATTAAATCTCAAACATTGTACATTAAAGCCTTACAATACCTGTGGGAGCCCAGTGAGCACTGTTACCACCATTTGACAGCTACAAAAACAAAAATATGAAAGCCCTAAGTGACTTGCCCCCAAGACAAACAAGCAGCCAGTGTAAGGCCAACTGATTTGGGGGGGGGGGG